ATCATATCATTTGGAAACTGCGTTGTTAGGACTGACCCCTTTGCACGTGCTCTTGATGAGTGGTTGGATGCGTACTGGCCACCGATCACCAGTAAATCCGGCCGAGTAAGTGATAACATCAAGCTTTTACTCAATCATGATGGATATCTGTATTAATCTAATTCTATATTGTCTATACTCTTCTTACCTAGCCGCGAGACTGGCGAAAACCTCTATGTTCAGCAGCAGACGCTTATCGCAGACTTATCACAGCAGTTCGCCGAAAGGAAATAGCTCTATTACGGATCACTGATTTGGAGCAACTGGCAGCAAACTGCCCACGTTGCTTTGGACCCCCCACACCCGATGCCAAAACCACCGATGATGAGCCCGACTTTATAGTTTGCTGCGATGGCAATTTTCAACAGAGACGACATAAGGCGGCAAGCGTGCCTATTCCTGGTTTCAATCCGGAACCTCCAGAGCTTTTCATGCAGCCTTCGCGTGTTGAAGTAATGGCTGAGCAGATACGTAGTGTTCGACCTAAAAAAGATGATGAACCTGTGGTATGCTAGTCTCGATATTCCTCTCCAAATTACAGTGCTGAAAGATTGTTTGATTATTAGGATCCTTGTACAGCACAGCACACGGCGGCTGATGATGTCCGCAATAAAAGTCACTGGAGCGGAAATGATGATACGGGTTTGGTGGGCTTAGCGTGTCGCCATGACCATGTGCTTAAATTCATAAATTTGGTGCAAAGTGGTGAGAAGTGGGTTTGCTTAATGAACTTGAGTCTACTATTCTCAACTGATCTTTTTTTATTTCATCAATCCACTTGCATAGGAGTCACTATGCTCTTGCGCTGGTCGATTGGTTGCTCGAAGTCACAGATAACCGAGGATTGGGGGCAAATAAAGTAGCCATGCTCTACGACGTTGGCTGTAACATAGAAAAAGGGATCCTCAAGGTAGTGCTTGTTGTTCTTATCTATGATCACATATCCTCGTTCTCTGTCTCTGATAGTTTGTTTGATTAACCCAGCGGAAACAATTTGCTAAAGCAAGATCTGAAGGCCGTCTTAAATTTGGAACTAGTGTCTTCCATGCGTACGTGCATGAGTGGGTATGTCAACTGGCGTATAACCCACGACTTGTCGCTGGATGGGGCCTTTCCGATGGCGAAGGTCTTGAAAGGATTTGGTCATTTCTATCGCCATTGATTGCACCACTGCGCTACTCCACAAGTCAGCATCGACTTGAAAGTCTTAACCTCCGATCTCTTCATCTTAATGATCGAAATCGCTATCAAGCAGGTTGGTGTTGACTCTAAGTACTAAAATGAATATAAAACTAATAGTACAATCTACTTTTGATGTGATATAAAGTGCAGTCTATGGTATCACACTTGAAGAAAACCAAAAAGCGCCTTGAAGAGGCTCAGATCACCTTGAACACACTACTGACAAAGCACAGTTATGTCACTGTAGAGTACGTCAGTCTTCAATGGGATCGGCAGAGACGCGCACAGCTGGATGTGATTAGTACGACAGCAAAGGAAAAGAAAAAAAAATAGCTGAGTTGCTTGAGTTGGAGGAAAACCTTATAGAAGCCCGGTTGGTGGTTGGTGTGACTTACCATTTAAGTTGTGACGTTGATCAAAACACTGATGGCTGGGCTTCTCATTATCTGTTTTCTTCAAGCGAGGACCTTCGAAAGTTGAAGCTGAAGCGGGTCAAAGCACGAACTGGTCGTGAGAAGCAGGAGCTTTTGAACTTACCTAAATCCCTGGTTCGCCTGGAGACTCAGATTCATAACGCGGCGGCCGAGCTAGGATCAGAAGAATTCAGGGAGCTCACGGGGCTTACAGGTATCAAGACTTGAACCAACTCGATGAACACAACTTGTTCCTTTGTTCGGACTTTACTAATATACATCATATCACTCTTGCCTGGCCAGACGACAGAGCAAAGCCCTTACTAGCGCTGCAGGTAGCTAAAGGGAAGCTCTACGAGGCGAAGGTGGGTGTCATTGAAGCTCGACGTCGATCAGAACGGACTAGTGGTTAGCATTTTAGATCTTCTTCCGTGCAACCGACTTCGTTGCTTACGTGTGTTCCGGCGATGAACCAGGGACCACTAGCCAAGGTCGACTGAATTATATCAAGTCCCATAAGAGCAAAATGTTCAAATCAAAATACAACTCGTATCACCGACGTGTAAGCGGCTACAATGATCGTTTCCAACCTGACCCACTCCTAGATGACCCATCCCTAGCTGAAGTCGAAAGCATGGAGATATCTGATTTGTTTTGGGCTGGTGGCTCGAGCCTGAGTCATCCAGAAGAGCCTTGGGCTAACGACTTACCGACCCGAGAGGGCATACAAGCTTTCTTGTCTCGTCGCTCTGCAGAGGAGGAGTTGCGCCGTATTTCTCGCGAGGCACGACAGCTAAGCCAGTGGGCCTTAGAGTACCAATCGAAAGTTGATTTTGTTGACCCTGGCGCTGTTGATGGCATGGGTCGGTCGTTTTTGTACTCTATTCTATTGTGGATTGAACTACTTAACACCTTTAAATTGTGTTGTATAGATGTGTCTGGTGTGATACAGAAATATCTCCACGCGGGACTAACATCTGATACACGTCGCCTTTGGTACAATTGGAACTTTGATTTCATCGATGTCATCAGATCAACTGCTGTCCATCTTCCTAGCCCTCTGAGATTAGGGCATGATCAAGAAATTGTAAGCAAATGGAAAGATCTTATGGAAGTCAAGTTTGAACATTGGGACCGGACGCTGGCAAGGATGGGTGTTCCAGATGTGGCTGTTCCAGATGTTGAGCGTGATTTACTTGCGGAAATGGAAGCAGAGGCAGAGGAAGAGGAGTTGTTTGCTCCTGAAGATTTTGAATTGGGAGAGGATGACTATGACTTGCATTGACAAACAATGATTGTATATTTTCTAATACTTGATCTTCGCATTCATTGTTCACATGTTTTAGCATCTAAAAAATCATTTGTTTATGTGAATTATTAGTACATGTTTTGGCTACCGGTCCATCAAATTAAGGCTACATGTTTAGATCAAACTAGTTAAAAGGTAAAAAGAAAATTTGAACATGTCCTACTCCTAAGTCAAGTCTTATTTTTAGCTTTAGGATACGATCTAATGGATGCAGATTAAGGAAGTAAAAGGCAGAAAATCAATGGTAAGAATCTATATAGTCGGTGGTTGAAAGAGTGGGAACGGAAAGACAACATACTTGTGGAAGGAGTCGTACTCCATTTAACCGCTGAGTTCCACTTGTACTAGGATTAAGAATTTCAAGTGAGATCTTCGCGGTAGGATTTAAAGTCGAACAATTTGAAGTAGTAGTAATCAAACTTAGTTTTAGAATCAAAAGAACCAGATGAATTATCTTTTTCGTGTTCTTCTTCATTTGATGATCTTTGATGATTTTGTTTTTCTTTGATGGTTTACTACTTGATCTTTTGTGATTTCTTTGATCAGATTGTGTACTTTGACTTAAATCACTTTTGTTATCTACTTCTGATCCTTTCGGTCTAATCGTTTTAGGTGTTCCATATTTTTTGAAAAAAAATCATCATCAAGCGATTAAGATCTGTCAGTAAGTGCATACAATTTCTCAATGATATAGCTATTCTAAAAGGGTGAACGTACCATTTTATGCACTTGTCAATGGAGTTTGAAGCCTTGCTTGAGATGGGGAAGAATAGTCGAATTGTATAGATCGTGTTTGTTGATATGTAGCAAGGGTGGAACCATGCTTCTGAGAAGTGTTTTCGCTTTGTCGGGATACGAAAGAGTGAGCAGAAGGTCGGAGTGAATTGTTGATGATGCAGGTAGGTCGAAAGCGATTTGAAATGGAGCTTGGCCGTCAATATGTTGGTGAGCGGGTGAAGTACAGGTGGTGAGCTGGTATGCGGATGGAGTTCCAGGTGGTGGGCTGGTGAGGAGTGCAATTGGTTGGTGAGCGGTGAATTTGTGTTTTACACAAGCTCACCAGCGGGGTTGACTGGTGAGCTGGTGAGTGGTATGTTGGCCGTGTTGAGCTGGTGAAGGGTCCCTTAAGGAATGGGGACTTTGAATTTTTTTTGTTTCTGAAGAGCAGCAGCTCTCAAGCTCCTCAGCTCTCAAAGGAGTTTTCGGACTCCATTCGAAGATACAGGCTTCGTTTTCTTCGGATAGTATCCAAGGATATGCATGAACTTTGAGATTTTAGAAAATTGTAATAAATTTGTTGAACAATAAGAATCACATGGCGGCACTGTGAATGATGAGGAATGACAGACATAGTAGATTTCTCTTCTAAATTATTGATGTACTATGATAGGTAATCTAGCCATGCTAAATCGAAAATCCAAATTAACATGGGTTTAAATTAAAAACCAAAAGGAACAATACACTCTAGGCCAATTTACAATCAAAGAGTTTAAGGATTTGGAATTGCGGGCCAGAATCATTGTCACAAACACGCCTGATAAGATAAAAACGGAACACTTGGGTAAGTCACCATATCCAACGAAAACACATAGTGCAGAGTTTGTAGGAAGAGCTTACATGATGGGTTCAATCAGTCAAATCCTCACCAGGAGCCAATCCTAACTTCCTTTTAGGTTGGTATCGAGTGCGTTTCTTGGTAGGAGCTGCCGAAGATTTGGGTAGTGACGATGACCCCTCCACCGAGGAAGATTTAGTACTGGATGGCCCAGGCAAAGGGGGTAGTTCTGAACCGCAAGCAACAACCGTTCCATTATCGCTGTCTGAAACGATAGCTGCCTTATCCTCAGGGAATCGGCTCGAGCTGGATCTTTTGACCGCAATCTGTAACCTCTCGAGTAAGTAA